GGGAGACAGAGACAGGTGGATCTCTGAGTTGAGGGCACCCTGGTCTAAAGAGGGAGTTCCAGGACAGCCAGGGCTACACAGTGAAACCCTGTCTGGGAAACAAAACAAAATTCTGCCTTTTGCCACATTATGGATGAACTTGGAGAACCTGATGCCAAGAGAAATAAGCCAGACCCAGAGAAGAGAATGTCACATTATCTCTCTTATAAGAATTTTTTTTTCAAGAGTCAAGTTTACATAGAGTCAGAGAATGAAATCAAGGCTACCAGAGATGGAAGGAGAGGGAGGGGGAGAAAGGTACAACAGAACTCTGAGGAGAAGGGTACAGAATGTGTGACATGAACCGTCCCGGAGATCTAAGTCACACCCTGAGGGCTGCACTTAACATCAGGGACCTCTGTCAAACAGATTTGGGTATTCTCGCCACACAGGAAATAACCATGTGAAAGAAATAACAGCTGTGGTAACTTGCCTCTTAGTATAGTGAATGTGCATGTGTGTGTGTGTGTGTGTGTGTGTGTGTGTGTGTGTATGATTCTCATGTTGGAAAGCTCACATTTAGACACTAATATACTTAAAAAAATATAGACTCTCTCTCTGACAAAAATGTATTAGAGCTAAGCCATTCTCGCCAGGATGCTCAGCAATAGAGCATCTACACAGTGAAAAAAACTGAGGTGTGAGCTCTCCAGGCAAATGATACTACAGGATGGTGATTTGGGGTTTTAAATTTTGTTATTATTGTTGTTTTGTTTTTTGATTCAGGGTTTCTCTATGTAACAGCCCTGGCTGTCCTGGAACTCACTCTGTAGACCAGGCTGGCCTTAAACTCACAGAGATCCATATGCCTCTGCCTCCTTTGCCCCTGAGAAGGACTGGGACTAAAGGCTTGTGTTACCACCACCAGGCAGGTTCTAAATTTGTGTTGGAATTCTAACCTTTCCTATTCCGAACCTTACGCATCCTTACCAGAAGGTTGTCGGATGACCCAGGTCCTGAAACATGCACCCCCCAGAAGGGGTATGATGGGCCATTGCTTCATCTCCTCTAGATTCTGAGCTTGTACTAACTCTACAAGAGCTATCGACTAAACAAGTTCATTGATGTAAAGGGACAGCAAAGCACACACACACATACCCTGGCCTGAGCCACATTCTGCCACAAGCTACCCTGGCTGCTCTCAAACCAGCAGAGACAGAGGGTAGAGTCTTGCTGAAGTCAACTTGTACATGTCTCAGTCACCAGGGAGAGCAAACAAGAGCTCCCACTGGCCGCCCTGCTACCTTGGAGGTGGGAGATTATCAAGACGCAGCCACTGGGCCATGAGAGTGGAGTGAGCTGTTACGGTGTGCCACCAAAACAAGCACCAAGGTGGCTTTCTTTCCTAGAGGTTCAGTCCTGTGTAATAGGCAGGTGGCAGAACACACTAGATTGTCACATGGCCAGGAAGATATGGCTGCTTAGCCTCGAAGGATGAAACCAAATGGTATCACCTACTAAACTGTAACATTCACCCACGACCATCTACTGGTTGGCAAGTACCAAGTCTCCATATCCCACACTAGGTCTTGGAAGCCAGAGACAACACAGTTCTTTTTGATTACCCAAAGAGCTAACACTTGTAGATGCCTGCTTATCAGTGTGTGAAGCATGGCCGTGCCTATGCCATCACCTTGGGATTAGATTCAGGCCGACAGATTCATCATCATTAGGAGTGCCGAGATGACAAGTCATTTCTCTGGGGCTATGCTGTCAGTAGGAACCCAGGACTGAAACCGTCACCTTCCTAGTTCTTTACAAACTTGCTACCAATCAGAACCATAGCTGCTAAAGAATAAAAAAAATCTTATCAAGGCTCACATGGGTGAGTGGTGGCGCAAGCCTTTAATCCCAGCACTCAGGAGGCAGAGGCAAACAGATGTCTGTGAGTTCAAGATCAGCCTGGTCTAAAGAGCAAGTAGCAGGACAGCTAAGGCTACACAGTGAAACCTTGGCTTGAAACTCCGCACCTCCACCAAAAAAGACTCACATGAGGAAAGCAGAAAAAGTATTTCTGGCTCAGAGTTTCAGCGAGCCTGGGAAAAGTGGGTTAGCTCTGCCAGGGGAGGTGTGGGCATCCTCTCATGTCAACAGACACACAGGCTGAAGACAAAGCCAGCAAGAGAGAGCGCTGAAGGGTCCATGATGCCCAAGGCTTCCCATGGAGGCTCTCCCGGGATTTATCTGTACTGCAGGCAAGCCTGCAAATCCTACTTCCATTCTCCAATAGCAGCTTCTGGAAAGCTGATGGGGAACCATGGTGCAACCATGCCCAAGGGACTGCACTGGAGCAGCCCTGGGACTTAGGGCCTGGGAGACCTTGCAGCCCTTGGGTAGAGCTAGGGAGCCAAATGACTCCTAAGCTCAGAATTTGATATCATTCTTTGAACATTTAATAGAGAAATGTCTGACAGATTCTGCACTAAAGCAAACTGTAAAATGAAACGAGACTCTTAATTGGAAAGAACTCTGCTGGTTCTTCCTCACACCACATTAAGACAACTGCCTCCAGGTCCAGGTTCTTTCCTCTGGAGCAAGTATGAGACCAACCTTTCCCTTCCCACGGGAGCGCTTCAGGCATTGGAAGACAGCCTTCCCCACACGTTTCTCCCTAAACTGAATCTCCGTTTCTTCAGCTTTCATTCAAATAACATGGACCACATGGTACAGGCTACTTCCTCCAGGGCCCTTCCAGTTCTTTTAAGGACGTGCTAGATGGCTGCATCTAGAACGAATAGATTACTCATCCACAGCTCATCAAGGCGCGGCTGAGCGGCTTGTAGTTCAGTGGCACCATTGACTCTTGACTTTGACTGAACTTTGAGCAAGTCTGAGACTCTATCGTTGACACAAAGGCTCAACTTCAAGTGACCAAGTGTGTGAGGCCACTGGTTACTTTGACAGCCTCTATGCTGCTGTGCTCCATCAGATAAACCCCAGAACTTTTTTATGAGCTCTTGGACTCTTTCTTTGAAGTGAAAAGCTAATGAAAAATAAATAGGAATTTATTTTGGAGGTAAAAAGGCAACTCCGTGTTCTCAAACATGGCTGAATAGCCTCCGTTTACTAGTGTGCTCCACACAGTGGGTTGCTCCATGGCCGTGCTACAATGGGATGGGAAAGAAAGAAGGGGAGAAAAAAAAGAATCAAATTTTGGTGAGAAAATTCTAAGACACCGAATCACTACTCCTTCATTCTTTTCTTAGTATGAGTTTGGTTTCGAGACATCTCTGCCACTGTGGGCTCCACATAGATCTTCAAGAAGTAATTATTGGTGGGAGAAGTTAATGCTTTTCTTAAGGCAAACTCACCACAGAAAGGGCATTTTATTTGATAGCTGTTTATTGAGAGCCTGGGATTGGGCCTGTGAACTCTGACCTCACCCTGTACACCCTCCTCTCTGTCTGGGACATTTGCCCCTGTGGGGTATTCCAATAATTTTGCTCATGTCTCTAATACTAGTCCCATTGATCACTTAGAGCAGAGCCAACAGTACGAAGGTTAGCAATAGTAAGCAGCGGGGTAAAGGTCTCCCCGAATAGAAGCAGATTCGAGTTTTTGGAACAAGTATTCGTGAAGAAGTTACTAAGTGTAAAGACCACTATGTATTCATGGAAGGAAAGAGCAATACCACCTCCAATAACTTATGAGCAGGGGAGAAAGTTGCAAATGCAAATACTCCGCTATTTTAACAATAACAGAGCTACTGCTGATAGCATGAAGCTTTGGGCACTACAGTGTGACTTCAGAGGAAATCTGGCCAGGACTGGTAGGGGACATCTTTGTAAGAGATGAAACTGGGTGGGGCCCTGAAGGACTGCTACTGTGTATTAGATAAGCAAAAGTAAGGAGAACATTCCAGAGAAATGGGGGTGATAGGCACAAAAACTTGAGAGACAATAACAAGAGGGTGACTTCGTAAAGCCAATGGAGCGTTGCAGTGTCCGCGATAGCCACAGGGAAAGATGACAGGAAAGTGGACGGCCTCCAAGAACTTGCCTTCTCACCCAAACCACCATCTACTGACACTGTTTGTTCTCTGTTCGCAACCATGAGGCAAGGCGGCTGACCTGGGAGAGGACGCGCCACTGTCCTCCAGTCCCTAGGCCTAGGGGAGGAGGGTTAGGGGTGCCTTCCCAGCAGAAGTCTGGTGGAAGAGCAGCGAATTAGTCGCATGAGAAAGGCAGGAAAAGCCAAACAGGTGGACCACAGAGAGAGAGACAGCAAGATGCTTGGAACTGCTGCCCTGCCGCTTACAATCACAAACATAGGGGGCCAGAAGGATAGCTCCAACCGAGTGATCCGCGTGGGAGGAGCATTAGCACACCACTGAAATCCTGAGCCAGCTCGTGCTAATTGCCCTTCCTTCTGGTACTGTGATTGGCCCAGAAGATAGTCACAGGCTAGACCAGTTGTTTGGGGCTCATGTTTGTCTTCCCCTTGTGACAGAGATACATTCTGGCTCTCTCAATTTCTTGTGGCAAGGTTACTCACATATGCCTCAACTCCTTGATTACCAGTGGTCTAATTTCTAAGGCCTGGTAAACTAGAAAGTCTCCGAACGAACCGGCCCGGTTCTTTAGGAATCCACATTCTGTCTCAGCAGCACACGACACTGGCCTCCGGGCTAGCCTGAGACACCGCAGTCAGTGACTGAGTGCCATGTGTTGTGTCTAGGAACCAGCTGTTCAGTTTTTGTGAAGAGTATTTATTTGCCTTGGAAACTCTCCACGTTTCATTTACCTCAACCATAAAGGCCTCGTTGAGTCCCTGCGCCGACCCCACAGAAAACTGAAAAGGCTCCTGGGGCATTTTTCAGAAGCCACCATTACATGAAATTATGCTAGAGGAGGAGTGAGTGAAATTAGGACACGGCTGACTGATTTGAGGCCCTGTTTGAGGCCCTGGACGCCTCACGAGGCGAGACGCGACGGAGAGCGGCCTCCGGGATGCCCACTTACCAGCTTGCTTTTGACCAGCTTTTCTATGGCACTGACAAGGTCGGCAGCAGTGGGTACGTCAGTGGAAGCCTGCCGGGCTGCTAGCAGAGAGGAGGACTGTAAGACATCGGACAGCAAAGGAAAAGCAGATTAGCCAGAAAAGAGGAACAGCAGTTAGGAAGCAAAGCAGACAGTCCAAAGTGCGAGGCAGGCTAGGAAAGTACAGCTCCGTGTTCAGAGGACAGAGACGACAGAGGGAGATGGGGAGGGGTCGGGAGGGCAGTCAGGTATAGGAAGGTCTACAGACCCCTTGAGAAAGTACTGGGCCTGGTTCTCCTTTGAGGCTGAGGGGAGCGGTCATTGACTCCCCCAGGAAACTCACAGGCAAGGGCTATGCAGACTGATATCAGAGCATGGGGAACTGCTCTGGGGAGATCAGGACTTCAGCCTTTTGTGGTAGCCCATTGCCGTTCCATGATCTGGGAGGTATGGGCTATTCCAGCCTCCCATGTCTATGAAAGAGATAAAGTCCGTGTTTTGCTACAGCTTTAGCTGGGGATCACCACTGTGTGTCAAGCAAGCTGGACACCTCTCCTCGTATCTTTTTCTTCCCTTTCACTCCCATTTACACACCTGCACTCATGCACACACGCACACAAGGCACTGGTAAGACTCTCAAAAATAAGTACTAAAAAGAGTTGTGTCCATGCTGGGGTTCCCAGAGACTACCCTGCTCACATCAAAGGGAGCCTCAACTACAGGCCTCTCTGTGTCCCTCCCGTGGACCAGTGGCAAGGCTTCGTGTAGTGGCTGTTTGTACAATGGCTGGGTATTCCTCCCACACACGGAAGGACCGGTCTTGTTTATTAGCCTGCTTGGTTTCTCCTTCATCCATCCTCCTGAAGGGATGTGCTGGCTCCCTCTGCAGCCATGTGTGTGCTTCTAGTCCAGGGCAGCAGGGCAGGGGGCAGTGACGGTCCCAGGCTGGGCCATGAGGGAAATGACTGGGAGCACAGGAAGAGCTACGTCCTGGGCTTGACCAGGCTTCACTCTTCCCCATCAGGTTGGGGAAGAGTTTCAAAAGGGCTTTTAATGACACTGGGATGTGTCTCTACTGCATGTACTGGCTACTTGGGATCCCATTCTCTTTGGATGGATGTATACCTTGCTCAACCTAGATGTAGTAGGGAGGGCTTTGGACTTTCCACAGGGCAGGGTGCATTGCCCTCTCTTAGGATTGGAGGGGGAAGGGGTGGGAGGGTCCGTGGAGAGAGTGGGAGGGGAGTGGGAGGAGGGGAGGGAGTGGAAATTTGGTATTTTTATTTTAAGCAATTTTTAAAAAAAGGGCTTTTAAGTCTTTGCTTCTAAGATTGGGAGAGATCAAATACGTGCAATTAAGAAAGACAACACTACTCCCCCCCCCCATATTTTGGGAGAATGCAGGAAAAATTTCTTGGTTTGGAAAACCGAGTTTCCATCTTTGATTTAGTAATCCTACTTCTGGGAACTCCTTCCAGGGTCGGCTGTGAGAAGGACAGACATGGGATCCTACTCAGGGATCTTCAGGGCCGTTACTCAGAGGTACAAAGACCGGAAACACCCGAGGCTGTTGCACAAAGGGCTGGTCATGACAGTCACGGAGCATAAAGTCAGCGCAGTATTCTCGGCTACTGAAACTACAGTTACACAGGTAAAAACTAAACAAAGCCGGACTAGATAAAGCACCGAACACGTCACACACATAGTGTAAGTGGGAAGCATCCAGACATGGAGGACTAAGCAGTCAGACATCAAATGGCTGAACTTTAAGAAGTTCCTGCCAGGACTGGTGGGGGGCATACCTGGAATCCTTAACACTCAGTAGGTGGAGGCAGAAGGACTGTGGCAAGTTCAAGGCCAGCCTGGACTACAAAATGAGTTTCAGGCCAGCCAGAGCTACATAGTGGGACTGCCTCCAAAAAACAAAACTGTTTTAATAAATCCAACCCTATTTACTAGGAGTACTGAGACTTATACCAACCCTGATTATTCCAACAGAAACCAAGTGCACTAAACTCAAACAAGCCAGTGTGGGGACAGAGTTAATGCGTCTAAAATGGGACAGCTGCAACACACTGTGTGTGACAAAGAAAAGGACCACATAGATGCCTGGGACAATCAGTTAAAATTTATCCAGGAACGACTTAACACACATTCACCCCCAACAAACTGTTTGAGGGGACTAGGAGAGGGTTCATGACCTTTCTGTTTTATGTAGGCAATGCAACCTGGGAACTCTACCCTCCCCCTACACACACACACACACACACACACACACACACACACACACACTCTAGTACTGTTCATAGGACGTTTTACAAGGAGGGTGGATGAAGCCAGCAGGCGAGTTCTCATGAAGGTGAAGGGCGGTCCTCTCTGCCTCTGGGAATCCCTTTGGGCACAATGGCATGCTTCTGTTGTTTTATTTCCCAGTGCCCCAGAGTCAATAGGCCTCAGAATCTAGGGTCTAAACATCTCTGTAGAAGGGGATACAACTGTGTGCTTCTTAGGGTAAGTATCGGCAGGCCGCCACATCTTAATCCCCAGTTGTCCCTCTAGCCTAAAGAGGAAGACCTTGAGTAACTACGGGTTAACAACCAAATGCAAAGCAGACAAAATCAAGCTAAAAACCTCTGGAATACCCGTAAGCAGAGCCTAGGACAAGTCTGACATCTCTCTACGCTTGGCCTGCAGACTGACTCAAAGGAGGCTTTCCCAGTACAGAGCACAGGACAGAACACAGTGAGAGCCAGAAACAGCCAGGCCAGCTGCCACTACCTTTACAAAATGACACTCTGGAAGAAAACGGGAAGCACAACCCAGTGCTGGAACTCCCACATCGAGGACCAGAGTCACAAGTAGAAGCCACTATATAAGAAGGCATGAAAAACCCAATGGAGCACAAAGCATGGCTGTAAGGAAAGCAAGGAGAGACAACACAATAGAAGCTCCAGTCGGGCGTGGTAGCCCACGCCTTTACTCCTGGCATTAGGGGGACAGGGGCAAGTAGAGCACTGTGAATTTGGGGCCAGCCTGATCTACATAGTGAGTTTCTGGCCAGAAAAGGCTACACGGTGAGACCCTGCATCAAAAGAACAAAAAGCAAGCCCAGTTCCAGGTCAGCACCTGGGAGGCAGGGCCACTGGAACCGAGTTCCGCTCTAGAACAAGCAGAATGACCTAACCGTCCGGGCGTGTCACTGGACACGAACTTTTCCGATGCCAGCGAACAGGGCATTTTATAAAACAAAGGGCTGTGGCAACAGGGCACACTTCCCTTTCCCATGCTAGACGACACCCTTCCACTGCCAGCATCTCTGCCCTGCATGCCGACATGGCAGTTTTAGTGACACTGGCTCGGGCTGAAGGGACTGCAATTCGACTTTAGAGCTGACAGCAGAAGACAACTAAAGCACAGGTTGTACGTCAGGCATCACCCACTGATTGACACTTGAGCCCTCACAGATCCCTTGGAGACAACCAGTTGCTTTTGGCATCTGCAGCCTGCAGATACAGTACCGTGACCCTCTCTCAACAGCGTGTGATCCCAGGCAGATTCCTGCTTTAACCAGTCTTCATGTATCCCTCAGTTACCCAGAACAAAGCCAAGCCTCAGCAACTGTGAGAGAGGACATCTACTAACCAACAGCACCTACGTCCCTGTGGGTTCTCTAGGGAAGGCGCTGATGGGGAGGGCAGCGCTGTTCCAGTCTCACAGACTTAGGAAGAGAAACCTCAGCAGGGCTCCTACCATCTCGTCCTGGGTGGGGTCGTTGTCAAAGATCTTCATGGGCGGAGGAAGGGGTGTGTGTGACTCTTCATCTGGCTCATCTTCGCCCCAACCCTTCTTGCTCTTCTAGAACAAAAGAACGCCATTAGGTACTGCTACATCAATGAAAGACGCCAATAGTTCAGGACTTGACATTATTGGGAAGAAATGCAAAGGGAGAAAGTTTGAAGACAAACCTTTAAACTAATTTTTTTCCCTCCTCTCCCACCCCCCACACTTTTTCTCCTCAAGTGTCCAGGCTGGTCTCGAACTCATGATCCTTGTGTCAGCCTGCTGGGTACTGGGATTATAGGAATGTTATGTGTCACCAGGCCAGGACTAACTTCCAATTTTTTCCAAAAGGCTATTAAACTATCATCCAAATCTCATCCGGGTTTGTGCCATTTACAACTTGAGAAATGGCGGGTAGAACAAAATTATGAGAGGGGGGTCTAGTCATGCATCGAGAAGACTGTCTTACCTTCAGCCAACATTGGAATAGGTTCGTTACACAGATAAAGCCAGCATTTTACCCTCCAAGATAAAAATGCATCCCCTATATTTTTATTATAGAATCTCAGCTCTGCAAGCACTCAAGAGATTACCGAGCCTAACGTCTTGGCTAAAGCCCAGTTCTCTGTGACAAATGTGAGGTCAGAGGAGCTCATTATGGCCCATTTCATCATCACCAGCTGTTTCTATCCACGGTCCTCACTGAACTGAAACCTCGCCCGCTGTGACCTTCATGCAGTCTTCAGAGCTACCCCTCTGTAACCCCTTATTTGTTTGTTTGTTTGTTTGGGATAAGCTCCCACCGTGCAGTCTCAGCTTGCTTAGAACTTAACGTGGAACAAACTGGCCTCGAATTCAGAGACCAACTGCCTCTGCCTCCCAAGTGTGGAACTAAAGGAGTGTCACACCACACACGGCATCTGCAACACCCTTGACCTGTGGCATTGCTCACAACGCTTGACTGAGCTCAGCCACTCGTTTGCTGAGTGACATAGTCTCAAGCCTTGCCTTCTTACTCTGTATCTGGCCAGGTTTGATGCCACCCTCAGTAGAGGCAGGGGATCAACCGCCTCTTCTCTGGCTAGCGCCCTGTCTCAGAATCCGGCAACCTTTGTTTCTGTCTACTTGATTGTCTCAGTGCCTATCAGTCTCGGAATGGGGCATAAATCAAAGTAATCAAGGATCAAGAATGGAAAGTTCAAGATGACATAGTACTAGAGACGGTAGACCCGTCTGTGTGGGAAGCATGTCAGCGGTCCCTCACGGCAGAAGAGAGCTGGCCCTAGTAGGTACCTCGTCAGCGCTGTCTCCCTGAGGGGTTGTCTCATCCCCAGGCTTGGGTGATCCCAGGTCAAAGCTCTTCCTCCCATCGCGTACTTTCTTCTGTTTTTTGATGTTTCCATCTGCTTTCCCACTGTTGAGCCGACGCACAGGGCTGGTTAGCCACTTTTTAAGGGTGTTGGTGGAGCGCTTGGGACCAGGCGAACTGTGGATGGAGTTCAGGGAGTGTTGAGACTGAAGGTTGGCCACCGATTCGGACTTGCCTCCATTTTCCCCGGAGGAATGAGAGTAAGAATCTGAGGAGAAAGGACAGACGGAAGCATCCTGTCAGAAGTGGTTAAAACAGGTGTTTGAACTGCCGGCTATGGCAGCTTCGTCCTCAGGAAGGTAGGTCCTAAGGCAGAAAGTCAAGGCCAGCTGTGGACCAGGCAAGGGACAGCAGTAACATCTGGCACTGACACAAATGTTCACATGTGAGATGCCAATCCAGGTTTTATGGAAAGAGGAACACACGGGAGACAAAGGCTCCTACTTCTGTGAAGGTTATATTCTGGTGGGAAATACAATAGACCACGAGAACAACAAAATCAGGAAAATGTAAAGTATCATAGATAATGAGAAGCATTTTACCAGGAAAAAACCATAATATTGGGAAATGCAATGGGGAGGAGAGGGCGTAAATTAATGCTCAGGCAGCCTTGTGACTTGGCATCTGAACGTGGTCCTAATGGCGGCGTTGAGAGACAAGCCATGCGGCCATTTGACAAACGGCCATTCAAGCAAGCCGAAGATGAGCAAATGCAGATGTTCCAAGGTAGTATGTGGGGTAGGCTAGGTAGTATGCAGAGAGAAGAGGAACAGTGTTAGAACGGAGGCAAATGAAGCAAACGGGAGGGACCACAGGGACCTGGGGTCTTATTTTATTATTATTATTATTAACATAGCACAATATTATTATTATGCCTTTGGCTTTTACTTACAGGGAAAATTCTTAAAAGATGGATACCATCTATCATATATACTAAAATGTCATTCTTATTTTTAACTGAGGACAGTGGATTCAGACTGTCTAAGAGGTCACCATATTCCTTTCAGCTGAGAGACGCTGGTAGCCTGGAGGATGGGCACCAGTGGCTATCAGAAGAGATCAGATTCTGGATTTTTTTGTTTGTTTTTTTAGAGACAGGGTTTCCCAGTAGCTATGGAGTCAGTCCTGAAACTTGCTCTGTAGACGAGGCTGGCCTTGAACTCACAGAGACCCGCCTGTCTCTGCCTCTCGAGTGTGCCACCATAGCCTGGTACTGGATATGCTTTGAAAATAGGACAGGCAGAGCTTTCTGACAGATTGTGCATGACATATGAACAAGAAGAGTCAGGATAACTTGGTGTTGCTCCGAACAACTATTAGGATGATAGTTGTTCATTATCGTTTCTGAGGTGGGGCAGAGCATGGGAAGAGCGGCTTTAAGGGTAGACAGAAAGGAGGCCAGTTGTGGCCGTCTGAGATCCTTTTAGACAGATACTAACAGACAAGCTGACGCTGCTGGACTTCAAGTCTGGAGCTCAGGGCCGAAAGTGCTGGTAGCTATCCGTGAAGAGATGGTGCTGGAAGCCATGAGAGAAAACACCAAGGGACATAAGCACTGGGAAGGGAGAAGCCTGGAGACTCAGCAAGACGCAGGGGGACGAGGAGACAGGGGAAATGTCGGAGAGGCCAGGGGGATTGAAAGTAGTCCTTGGCCTGGAGGCTACGTGTGGGAAGCGTCTGTATGGAGGAAGGAGATTCAGCTGTGTCAAACACTCCTTGACAGGCCAAAGGTACTGACCAAAGAGTTAAGCCTTAAACTTAGTTACACCGACGTCACTGGTGACTTTGCAAAAAAGCAGCTGTGTGATGGAGGGGGCCAGGCTGATTACACAGAGTGGTGGAGAACGGGACAAAGGAAGGCAGCAGAGTGCAGAGAATTTTTGCTTTGTTTCAAAGGGACAATGATTGGAGATCAAGAGAGTTTGTTTTGTTTTGTTAAATAGGAGAAATCAGCATATTGTCTGTAAGCTGCTAGGCCATTTGTTGACTCTCTCAACGCTTTAATGAACTTGCAATAGCCTAAGCATTTTACATGGCCCATCTTATTTCGTTCTTTGACAACATCATGAGCTCATGGGGGTGTACGTGGGGTGAGTCTTATTATCTTCATTTTACTGAAGAGGAAACTGCCCATTTAGAGACATCGATCAATTTGCCCAAGGACGTACAGCTCCTAGGGACAGGGTAAGAACTGTATGCCATTCAGCCGGATGGAGCAATAAACTATGCTACTGTTCCTTCATGCATTTCCATGCCCAGTACACCAGTTTCCACCAACTACAGGCACAGCAAACCCAGGGAAGCCATGCTATTGGAGTGAGACAGTTAGAGAAAGCACAGCACAGGGGAAGCATGTAAGACAATCCCCATTTAATTCCCCCAGTTCCTGACATCTGAATATCTGCTAATCTCTGAAGAAACCACCATTAGTTATATAGAGTTCAGCCTACAAAATATTTTGACTAATCCAAGGACATGATTTTAAAGTCTGCTTCAGGTGTTGTTATAGCTCCTTCTGCTCAGGGATGCTCGTTTTTTTTTTTTTTTTTTTTTTTTTGTTTATTGGCTGTTTTTTAAGATAAGGTTTTTCTGTGTAACAGTCCGGGCTGTCCTGGAAGTTACTCTGTAGATCAGGCTGGCCTCAAACTCCCAGAGATCCACCTGCCTCTACCTCCTAGGTACTGGGATTAAAGGCGTGCACCACCATCACAAAGCCAGTAATGCTGTTTTTTGTTATACTGGCGTTGGGAAAACAGGGTCTCTAGATGGCTAGATGTTGCACAGCGACATCAGCATATTGGTACTCAAGTCAAGTACCAAGCAAGCATTATTAACTAGTAACAGTGCCACAGAGAAGGAGGTAGACAGTGAGTTCTAAAAATAGAACACACAGGCTGCGTTTTCATTGACCTCTTGTCTAGCTACACACACGCTCACATGCACAACAGCAGAGAGGCGTGGGGAGAGAGAGAAAAAGAACAGACCAGCAAGGCAGAGCACGAAACACAAAGATATTTTCGCAAAGCCGTGGGTGATTAAATTGCCAGCAGGCTGGTATGGCCAGACTTGCCTGATAAATGAGCAGAGTTCAGGGAAGGGTCATATCTGTGTAGGAGGGACTGGCCTGAAGAGGCTTAAGGGAAGAGATGTTTGGAAGGGAGTGTTCCCAAAAGTTGGATAACAAGAGTAAAAGCACAGTCAGGGAAATGGAAAATAAGTTAGCCAGGCCAAGGTAGGTCCTCGGTAGGGAATAAGATCGGTGGGGGAGAAACTGGGTAGGAGGAAACACTTGTGAAGACATCAGATAATGAATATGAACGTTACTATGAGATTCTGGTGGGAAATGACATGACAAAAAAAGAGGTAGTTTTGCTTTTCAAATCAATCTGGCAAGTCTATACCACTATCTTGGGAAGAAGGGTTTGGAACCCAGATGGTCCTATGAGGCCCATGTGCCCAGGCTAGGGAATATGATACTGTTAGTGTCTGGGAGACAAGTTAAAGGTAAGTGTGTCATGAGTGCTCATCACTGTGGTCCTGAGACAGCTGATCTCCACCCCAGCCCCATGGCTGCCAGTTTGCATACTGGTATTTTAACCAAGAAAATGGTTGGGTATTTAAACAGTGTTCTTGTGGCTTTTCACGCCTACTCGGAGACTCATGATTTCCTGTGTGACTCTGCTTTAGACCTGGACAAGCCATTTCATCTGGCCTTGGAAACCCTCAAGCTTAGATGAAGCCAGTAGGGCAGAAAAGAAAATCCTGAAACCGAAGTTAGCAAATGCATTTGGCAACAGAGAGCTGCTCCCAGCGTCTCCCATGGCCCGAGACCCTGAGCTCCAGGCTGGGGCTTGCTGAGCCTTTGCCCTGCTGGGGCCTTTCTCGGGGACTATTAGGGATTTGTGCATATTTTGGAAAGCAACAGCAGAAGATGGGTGTTTAGAAGCACAAACATGGAGTTCCTAAAATTCCACAGTACAAAGGAGAATCTAGGGGGCTGCTCTGCTAGGGGGACATCTGGGGATTCACTGCTACCTCTTTATGGACAAAGGTGTAATCTTATCTCAGAAAATTCCTCCCTGGCTGGGGTCTGGCGTGTGTTGACATTATTTCTCAAGTGTTTGGGATGGGTGATAAGAATCTGCAGGAGCACTGATAGAAACAGGGCCTCTCTGCAGATGAGTGGCAGACTCTCCTCATTCACCAGGCCCCAGGGATGCAACGGATTCCAAGTTTTCAGAACCTAGATTTATAGCATGTGCCGTGTCAGCAAAGTGAGAGGCTCAACCACAGCCACTTCTCTTGGTTACCAAGCAAAGCAGACTACGTTCCAGGACGAATCATGGCCTGGCTTTGACATTCATAAATGTATATTAGGAATGGCCATTCCTCTTCCCCTGCTGCTATTGAGTTCTGCTTTTTATGCTTTTTGTATAAAGTAATGACAAGAGTAAAGAAAATGAAAGATCCAGAATATTCTCGGCGTTGTTTCAAGTTGGTTCCAGATAAACAACAGGAGTCACTTAGTGGTGGTCTAAGCAATGGGAATCCCAGTCCGAAGCAGTTTTTGATTCATCATCCTAGCCACTGCCCTATCATAAGACAGAGCCATTTTCAAATCACTTTGCAGGGAAGGAGATGGAGTGAAGGGGAGAGGGTCTCACTACATAGTCCTGGAACTCACTCTGTAAACAAGGCTGGCCTCAAACTCAGAGATCTGCTTGCCTCTGCCTCCAGTGTGCTGGGATTAAAGATGTGCACCACCTTGCTTGGCCTAAATCACTTCAACTATCTGGTTACAAAGAATGTGGATTCATTTGGACAAGGCAAAGCTTCCAAGCTAACGGTCTCTTCACGGTTATTATGCCCACACCATCTCTGTAAATTTGCTGTGATTGGCGAAATGCATTCCAGATAGAACGGTTCCCGTGGCTGATTCGCATCAGCTACAACAACCACGCTGTTTCTTACCCAGTCATCATAGCTGAGGTAGGTACCATGCATTAGGATTCCCACACTAGGAAATTATAGTGGTATATTGTTTGTATTTTAATATAAATCTTGCCTGAAGACCAGAGGCAAAGCTAAAGCCACTAGAGGTCAGGTAATGGTGACACACACCTTTAACCCTAAATTAAAGGCAGATGGATCTCTGTGAGTTCAAGGCTACCCTGGGCTACACAAGATCAACACAGAAACAGATCCAGC